CATTGCTGTTGAATGGTGAGCACGTGACCATGCCGACCACAAAGGCGTCTGCGGAAACTCGAGGACATTCACCACAATGATTTTCCTCTCTCTGATGTACTTCAAGTGCAACTCGAAACTATATCTGCAGGGATGAATCTGTAACTTAAATTGGGCCAATCAGAATTGTTATCTTTGTTCAGGTAAAATGAGTTGCAAGGTATTTTGGTTTTTTTTGTGTATTCATTTGTGTTTTTCCCCCCACCTAAAACATTTTTTAACCCCAGAATTATAGCCTGAATGTTCGCTTTTAGTCTGGCCAGGGACCTGACTCCTGAGTTGCTGCCTCTCCCCCGCTCACTCCAGTCACACAGAGAATTGGTGTTTCCCGCAGTGGGGGTGCGGCTCTTGGACAGGTAATGGGGGCAAGGTGGGTAGGGAGGATAGACTGTCACTTGCTGTTATAGGCACAGGTGATTAAAATGCTAAATATTGCAAATGTATGCTTTGTCAGTATATGGAAAAGTTGAAGGGAAAATACTGGAATGCTTCTTCAAAGGTTAAAAAATAACTGGGTCCTTTGGTAATTTGACCCCACGTGCTCTCTGGCCCTCAAGCATGTAATCTCGGGGTCTGAGGCCCAGGACCCACCCCCTGCCATCCCTCCCACCCCACTCCCTGCTCAGTACCTGGCGTCGGTACACAGGCAAGGACTGGCACAACCAAAATTGGCTTTTCTCTTCCTCTTAATATTGAAGAAATTCCCACATTTCTCATTTGGTAATGGTGTTGTGGCCTCAGATTTCTTCCAGTATTTGCTTCTGATGAATAATTATGGTCTATACATAAAAAAGTAAGATTAAGTATTGCTGAATTTGCAGTTACGTTGTCGTGTAAAAGAGCTACTTCCAAGTGTGGTTACAAATGAACCCATGGAATGATGACTTCATGTTCTTCTCGTGGGTTTGTGCCGTGCTGCTTTCCAACTTTCCAAATATGTATTGAATTTATGCATTAGTCTGGTGATTTCAGTTCTGTGAAATATTTTGGGATCTATACCAATTAAACATTTTCATAGTTCTGCCTACTGTCGTTCCCTGAGGCTCCATTGCTGCTTGGTGGCCATTCTCTGCCTTTTTATAGTCACCTGAACCACCACCCATCATCTCTTGCTTGCTTGAAATCTTGCTGAAATGTTCTCATTTCCTGTTTGCTGTATGGGCTCGGGTGGGATGTTTATTGGCTCTGTTGTGTTTATTCACCAATTTGTACATTATTTGTTGTCCTTTACTACTGTAAACAGTAAATATAGTTTGGTATTCTGTCTCTTGGCTTCTACTAAACACTGCATTTGAAGGTTGGGGCGTACCGGTACAGTTCAGTGTTTGAATTGACGATTCCGCGTGGCCACTGCACGGAGAAACTTTGATTGAAAAGCTAGCGGCTGGAAGGTTAGCATTCAAGCATTCACCTAGCGGCTCATTTCCCCTCCCCTGGCACATCAACAATGCTAGTCCAGCTTTTTTCCTGCTGAGGGATGTATCCTCTCCTCAGAGACCTCCTGGCTGACAGCTGTCTGAGCCAGCATCACTGTGACAGATTACCCTTCCTCTCGTGGGTTTCGTATGTAAAGAAAGGGTGGATTTTAGAGGCAGATGAGCTTGGGTGTTAGTCTAGGACATCTCTCGTTTTCTGGTGTTTGAATTAAGTCGGCTTTCCTTCTGCCATGGACAACTTACCTGTCTGCTTTGAAATGGAACTGACATTGATTTGGCTTTAAGAATTTCCCAGTATGCAATGGTGTAACAAAACCCAGGTTGAAAATGAGCTGTTTTAGCCCATCAGTTGAGTGAACCCAAGGTGAAGGAAGATGGGCATCTGTGGAGATGGAATACGTGATTCACTTGCACCAGGAAGAGTGCACGGATTAAGGCACAATACAGAGACGGGGACATCCGCCAGATTCCCTAGGCAGCCTGAGGCGAAGGGGCTGCCAAAATCCACGAGGAAAGGGATGTGTCTCAGGCAACATAGGTTAGATGAGAATAATGGCCAAGAGCATATGTGGATGTATTAGGACAATGCTGCTTGAACTTCCATCCACAACACCTCACAGCAGAAGAACGAGCAGGATGTTTTAAAAAATTTTTAGAGACGGGGGTCTCACTATATTGCTGTATTAGTGCATCGTCACATTACTATGAAGAACTGCCTGAGACTGCGGTAATTTATAAAGAAAAGAGGTTTAATTGACTCATAGTTCTGTAGGCTGTACAGGAAGCGTGGCTAGGGAGGCCTCAGGAAACTCATGGCAGAAGAGGAAGGAGGCACGTCTTACATGGTTGGAGCAGGAGGGAGAGCAGAGGGAGATGCCACACACTTTTAAACAAGCAGATCTTGTGAGAACTCACCGTGACAACAGCAAGGGGAGAATCTGCCCCCATGACCCAATCACCTCCTGCCAGGCCCCTCCTCCAACACTGGGGATTACAATTCAACCGTAAGGTTTGGGCATGGACACAAATCCAAACTATAAATCAGTTGCCCAAGCTGATCTCAGACTCCTGGCCTCAAGTGATCCTCCTGCCTCAGCCTCTCAAGTAGTTGGGATTACAGGCGTGAGCCACGGCGCCCAACAAAGGCATGTTCTTGAGGTTGTCTTTTCTCTGAGATTTATGCGAATTGTGCATTTGGAAAAATAGATTTGTTGGGATTACTATTTTCAAGAACATTAATTATGAGAAACTGAATCTTTGGGTTAAATTGATGCTCCTGGAGGAGAGAGGCCCTATTTATCCTGGTATCTATGCCTGGCGTTCCAAGTGGAACTTCTCCAGTTTTTGCACCGAAAGGAACCCCTACTCCCAGGAAACTTGTCATCTTAGCCATGCTGCAGGAGTGCCCAGCTGGAAACGCGTGATGTTCACGGGAAAGCCCCACCGTGTGACATGGGTTAAGCTGTGAGGTCCTTTTTATATTTCAGAACTTCAGTTGCTAAAGATAGAAGGCATTAATTTTATTCTGTACAGTTGGCCTCTCCAGGGTGTGCTGCCATGCAGTATTACACACTGGCTGCTCAGAACCCCTGGGACTCCAGTGCCACTTAGATCAAGTGAGTTGAGAGTTGCACGAGTTAGCCGATTAAAATACAGGATGCCCAGCTAAACTTGAATTTCACACAAGGAACTGAACGATGACCATGAAAAGAAATGTTGCAGAGAGCCTGGTTCTCTGAAGATAAGGTGGTGTAACAGCCCCGTCGAGGGGAGAGACTGCCATCTTATTTCAGCAACTCATATTTTGGACTTTTGTCACTTGAAGCCGAAGCTAATCCTGATAGAAGCTGTAAACCACATTTCTGAAAAATAGTAATTGGAGAACATACAGTGTTCTACAGTAAGATGTCTGGAAAAGATTGACAAAATTATGAAAATATCCAGCATATGATGTTATAGTGAGCATCACGGCATTGACAGTAATGCTTTATTGCCCATATTTCCCATAACTGGAAAAGGGGAGCTGCTTTCCTTTAGTAGCACTGGACAGAAACGCCTTGGGGTGTGGGGTGCTGTCTGATTAGAGAGAGCAGCTCTTGAATGGGGGAGGAAACACCTCCATTGTGACTTTTTGCACATTGCATTTGCACAAATTACTCTCTGAAACAGTCTCAAAAAACAATGTCATTTTTATAAAGCACTGTGGTCATTTGAAAAGATAGAGGTAGACTGAAATTCTGAATTTTAGGGAATTTTCCTACAATATGCATACTTGTGAAGTTTGCATTGTTAAATTTCATTTGATTTGACAAATCCGTATTAAGAGTATATGGTGTCCAGGTACAGAGGCTGCCCCAGAAACAAGACAGAAGTAGGCAGAGAACCTTGGCTCTCATGGAACACGGTTTTGGTTAGAAGCAACAGATAAGGGTAATACATTTATAGCATGCTAGTAAGTTCTATAGTACGGTGTGTTGCGTAGGAGTTGCAGAGAAAAAGGTATGCGGTGAAGGCAGGGTGGTGATGGTCTAGGCCACACTGAAGAGGCAACATTTGAGCAAAGACTGAAAGAGAGTGGGAAGAGTCTTGGACCAGAGCCGCCAGAAGAAAGTGTTTCCGGGGTGGGAAAAGTCAGGGACTCTGAACGAAGCCAGGGCAGCTGGAGTGGAGTGAGAGGGATGTCCGGAGGGTCTGGGAGGACGGCGGGGTGGCCCAAGGCAGAGCAAAGCACTGCAGGACTTCAGCTTTACTGAGTGAAATGGGCGGAGCAGCGTGTGAATGTGATCAGACTTCTTTTACAGGGATCATCTGCAATGCTGGAAGGGAAAAGACAAATGAAGAGGTTATTGCAACGAACAGCCAGGCAAGAGATGCAAACGTTTTTTGCAAAGGTGTGTGTGTATATACATCCTTGCACTGGACAGCCACGAAGCACTCACTGTGAAGTAAGGATGTGGGTTCAAATCGCTCACCTATTCACAGCGGGTCAATCGGGAAAGCACTCCCACTCAGTACAGCCATTACGGGAAAAGGGCTAGCTCCTTACAGGATCCTCAACTGTGGAGAGGCCAGGAGCCCACGCGGGGCGCTGGGGATTCTCTCAGCACCCCAGGGGGTCGGGCAGGGACCCGAGCCGCGCCCTCCCTCCCGGGGGTGCCCTGGGGTCGAGGCTGCCCAGCGGAGCTGGCGGCTGTCTCCCTCGGAGTAGAAGGTGCTGGACCCGAACTCCAGCGGAGCCGCACAACACGTGGAGAAAAAGCGCCAGGACAGCCAACCTTCCCACCTTTTCACACCTGAAACCCGGCCGGCCGGGGGCGGTTGGAACGTTCAGTGCGGACCCGCGCCTCAGGCGCCTTGTTCCCAGCCTCCGACCGCCCCGCGACCTCCCATCTCGTCTCCGCCCTCCCTCCCCAACCTCCATCCTCCCCGCTACAAACCCCGTCCTCCCGCCCTTCGGCAGCGCGCGGCTGGCACGGAACAGGCAGCGCACACACTAGAACAGGCGCCACCGTTCAGGAAGTCTCTACAAAACCAGGATCCTGAGGCCTCTGTAAGTGCCGGGACCGGAACCAACCACGCAGAGCGACTAAGGACGGGGCAAGAGCCGAGAGAACCCGCTGCCGTCCGTTGAACTCCCACCACCCAGACAGCGCGCTTCCGCGATTGCGCACGCGCGCTGCGCACCACGCCCCGGAAGAGTTCCTAGGCCCGTGACGGTGACCCGGAAGCAGCCCCCGGTGTCGGGGCAGGAGGGACGCGCGCGGCTGAGGTGAGGTCGCTCAGCGCAGCTGTTGCGGGGCCATGGCGGGGACGGCGCTGAAGAGACTGATGGCCGAGTACAAACGTGAGTTCGGTGATCTGGGCGGTCAGCAGCGTCCCGCGTTCCTGCTCCCGGGTCCGCGTCGTCCGGTGGGGATGGGGCAGGGAGCCTGGCGGGGGAACCGGGCCCGGGGCCTCCATCGTGAACCCCGCTGTGGGTCCCGCGGAGCGCCGCTCTCTGCGCCCGCTGCCCGCCCTCACGCGTGAAGTGAGGAGAAGCCTTCCCAGCGTCAGTAAAGGCAGCGCCGGCGCCGTGTTAGTTGAGAGCACACACAGTTGAGTCTTTGCGGGCTTTTTTTTTCTCTTTTCTATTAATTGTTTTCTTGGCAGCCTTGAGAACGTGCAGTGAGAGGCCTGAATTGCTGCTGAGGAATTGGGGGGAAAAGTGTGTGCGTTAAAAGGGGAAAGACTCGTTGGTGGAGCTTTGGTGAAAGGTCAGATTTTGGCTTTCCCTCCAGTGAAGGAAAAGGGCTTTTGAACAGTGCCACCTGTCACTCCTCCTAGGTAGTGTTGGGAAAACCTCATGAGTGCTTTCCTACCCGGTACATTAGATATTTCTAATGTCTGAGGAGAGCGAAGGGAGAAATGAGAACCTAGGAGCACTCGGCGTTCCATCGTTTTACACCGAATTCCCGCTCGGAAGAACTGCTGCCAGAAGTCTTGGAATGCCATTGTGTTGAAAGCGCCAGAAACCTGACTCGCCGGCGGAGACAAGATAGTAGCCGGCTAAGAGCAGGGCCTGAGGTCAGACCCGGCCTCTCAGCTCCTTAGCTCTTTGACCTTGTTCCTCTCTCGCAGTCTCTGCAGTTTCTTTATCTTAAAAGGTTAAAGTTGGTACTGCAGGTGAAGTGCTTAGCAAAATACCTGATGTGTAAACTCTTAATAAAGTTAGCCGCTGCTTTTGTAATTAGATTGAGGGTAATTTTGGAAGAAGGTTAAAAATAGGCTGAACTAATGAATGTGATAAAACAGAAATAAGTGGTGAATATACATGTAGCTTGATTTCGTATAGCTGTATTGGTGACACTGCACAGTGAGAGTTGATGTTTGACTTAAGCAGACCAAAACATTGCAAATACAGGTTCACTCACGTATGGTCATTCATCCCTTGGTATCTGGAGGGGATCGGTTCCAGGCCCACCTGCAGATACGGATGCTCAAGTCCCTCCTATAAAGTGGCGTGGTATTTGCATTTAATGTATGCATAGCCTCTCATAACTTTTAAATCATCTCAAGGTTTACTTATAGTACCTAATGCAGTGTAAGTGCAGCGCAAATAGTTATACTGATTTTTTTTACTTTTATTTTTAAATCGTTATTTTTTTCAAGTATTTTGTATTCCTGGTTGGTCGAATCCATGAATGTGCAGGAGCAGATACGCGGCCTGCTGTAAAAGTTCAAATAACGCTCGCCACCTAGTGTCTGCTAAAGCAGAACGTAGAGGCACACTTACTTTCCCGCGCACTTTGCTTTATTGAGTTTCACTTCGCAGATATTGCATGTTTTACAAGTTTACAAGTTTTTTACAAGCAACCCTGCATGGGACCAAGTCTGTTGGCACCATTTTTGCTCACTTCGTGTCTCTGTGTCACATTTTAATCTATTACGGTGATCTATGATCAGTAATCTTTGATGTTACTGTTGTAATTATTTTGGGGCATCACGAACCATGCCCATAAAAGATGGTCGTCCTAATAAATGTTGTGTGTGCTTCACTGACTGGCTGTTTCCCCATCTCTCTCCCGGCCTCTCTCTTCCCTGAGACAAAACAATATTGAATAGGCCAGTAATAACCGTACAGTGGGCTGAAGTGTTCAAGTGAAGAGTTGCACTCCACCCACTTCAAATCAAAAACTAGAAATGATTAAGTTTAGTGAGAAAAGAATGTTGAAAGTCAAGACAGGCTGAAAGCTGGGTCTCTTGCACCAGTTAGCCAAGTTGTGAATGCAAAGGAAAAGTTCTTGAAGGAAATTAAAAGTGTTGCTCTGTTGAACACAATGAATAATAAAGTGAAAAAGCCTTACTGCTTATGTGAAGAAAGTTTTAGTGGTTTGGATAGAAGATCAAACCACTCATAACATTCCCTTAAGCCAAAGCCTAATCCAGAGCAAGGCCCTAACTCTTCAGTTTTATGAAGGCTGAGAGCAGTGAGGAAGCCGCAGAAGAAAAATTGGAAGCTAGTAGAGGTTGGTTCATGAGATTGAAGTAAATAACCTGTCTCCATAACATAAAAGCACCAGATGAAGCAGCAAGTTCTCCAGAAGATCTAGCTAAGATCAAGATGAAAGTGACTCCTAAATTAAGCAATAGATTTACAAGGTACGTAAAATAGCCTTATGCAGTATTGGGAGGAGGAGATGCCATATACAACTTAAACAGCTGGAGAGAAGTCAGTGACTGGCTTCAAAGGACAGGCTGACTCTTGTTAGGGGCTAATGTCGGTCACTTTAAGTTGACTTTGAGTTGAAGCCAGTGCTCATTTATCATTCAGAAAATCTTAGGGCCCTTAAAAATTATGCTAAATCTACTCTGAGCTCTAGAGATGGTACAACAGCCTGAATGACAGCACATCTAAGTACAACATGGTTTACTGAATATAAGCCCACTGTTGAGACCTACTGCTCAGGAAAAAAAAGATTATTTTCAAAATATTATTGCTGACAGTGCACCTGGTCACTCAAGAGCTCTGATGGAGATGTATAAGGAGATAAATGTTTTTATGCTTGCTAACACAACACCCATTCTGCAGCCCATGGATCCAGGAACAATTTTCACTTTTATTTAAGAAATACATTTCATAAGGCCATAGCTGCCATGAAAGGTGATTTCTTTGATGGATCTGGGCAAAGAAAATCAAAAGCCTTCTGGAAAGGATTTATTATCCTAGATGGCATTAAAAACATCTGTGATTCATGGGAGGTCACCGTATCAACAACAGGCGTTTGAAAAAGTTGATTTCAATGCTCATGGATGACTTTAAGGGGAGGAGGCAACTGCAGATACGGTGGAAATAGCAAGGGAACTGCAGTTAGAGGTGGAGCATGAAGATGTCATTCAGTTGCTACAATCTCATGATCAAGCTTGAACAGATGGGGAGTTGAGTCTTATAGATGAGCAAAGAAGTGATTCTTGAGATGGGATCTACTCCTGGTGAAAATGCTGTGAACATTGTTGAAATGACAACAAAAGATTGAGACTATTCCATAAACTTAGTTGATAAAGCAGCGGCAGAGTTTGAGGGTATTGACTCCAATATTGAGTGAAGTTCCAGTCTGGGTAAAATGCTGTCAGACAACATCACAGACTACAGAGCAATCTTTGGTGAAAGAGTCAGTCCCTGTGGCAAACTTAATTGTCTTATTTTCAGAAACTACCACAGCCACTCCTGCCTTCAGCAACTACCACCCTGATCAGTCAGCAGCCATCAATATCCCGGCAAGACTGCACCGGCAAAAAGATTATGACCTGCTGAAGGCTCAAATGATTGTTAGCATTTTTTAGCAATAAAAATTAAGCATATTTTGGCAAATAATTTTTTTTTTGAGACAGGGTCTTGCTCTGTCGCCCAGGCTGGAGTGCAGTGGCACAACCACAGCTCATTGCAAGCCTTGACATCCTAGGCTCAAGCTATCCTCTCACTTAATCCTCCTGAGTAGCTGAGACTACAGGCACGTGCCACTACACCTGGCTGATTTTTCTGTCTTCATCTTGACCTCCGTGTTGTCAGGGTTTGACGAAAGTGACTCCATTTTGATTCTGACAATGTTCATACTAGAACAGAGGATTGGATATGGGGAACTGTTACTTCTGTGTCCTCATGGGAAACCTGGCTGGTGGGTCAAATGCGTAAACACCTACCATTTCTTGGTGTCCTGGTTTGTGTTTGTGTCTCTGTTTTAGTTTTATTTTAGTCCTGTTTCTAGGGTGAGGCTAGACTGTGAGCAGCCATTTTCTCATTTTTATTGAGAAGAAAATCATTAAACCCCTGCATAGGAAATTAAGTTCAGGCTGCTGCTTCAGGCCAGTCTTTGCATTGTTGAACTTGTATTTTCTAAGGATATTTTCATTAGCAAAGATATGTTCTCCCTTTTACTCTCCTGACAAAAGCTTCATCTGTTATTTCAATTGTCAATTAGTTTGCAGTAATAAAACCTAAATAATGGTTAATTTCCAAAGGTTTGTCACAGAAGTGTATTGTGTGTTTTTACATGTTAACATGAAAGTTTGGACCATGTGTGGAAGGTAGAACTCTAAACATACCTCCCTAAGATTCACATGCCCTAGTTATTCAAGCACTTTCTAGTACTGTGGTGGAGGGCCTTTGGAGTTGTAAGTAAGGTTACTAATCAGCTGATTTAAAGAGAGGGAGTTTATTCTGGATTACCCTGGAGAATCCAATAACATAAGGCTCAAAAGCAGGCAATGAAGGCAGGATGGGGGCGGTCAGAGAGATTCGACATATGACAGGATCTCTACCTTTTGTGGCTGGCTGTGAAGATGAAAGGAGCCCTGAGCTGAGGAAGGTGGGCGGCCTCAAGAAGCTGAGAATGACCCCAGGACAACAGCCCTGTGGAACTGAATTCTGTCAGCAACCTCAATGAACTTGGAGTGGCAGCCCTGGTGAGACTCTGAGCAGAGAACTAGCTGGCCCATGCTGTGTCCAGACTTCTGACACTTGGAAACTCTGAGATCATCAATGAGTATTGTTTTAAATCACTAAATTTGTGGTAGTTTGTGTTACAGCAGTGACAGAAGATGAATACAGTATGTTATTGAGGGGACTTTGTTTTTCCCGTATCTTAATAATGTGATAAAATTTAATGTTTATTTTTTGTGTATCATTTAGTGTTTTTTTGTGTGTATCTTAACATCTAGTTTGTCCTCATAACGTATTTTAAGGTAGCACATTCCAGTATAAAGGTGGACTTGACAGAATCAATCTCTACATAGAAGGGGTTTAGATAGATTTGGATAGATGTTCGGGCCCACTTTATTGTATTTGGGAATAGTCATAGAACTGCAGAA